AACCAACGACCGTCCTTCCTTCCTCTTACGTCGACTAGGTAACGAACCAACTACCTACCACTAAGTAATACACGTAGTAGACACGCGCCTCTCTCTCTCTCTCTCTCTCTCTCTCTCTCTCTCTTTCTCTAGCTGGTTTAAAGCTCTATAGAGGAAGGAAGAAGATTTATTCAATAACAGGAAGGAAGAAGATTTATTCAATAACAGGGAGGATCTCTTCTTCCTCTTCATCAGAATCATATTGCTCTTGAAAAGCCCCATTTCCAAGCAAGAAGTTGAAGATGTAGTTCCTCCCTCTAACAGCCCTAATCTCTCTAAGCCTTGAGATAAAAGCCTGCCACCCTGAAGCGTGATCATCGGAACCTCTCTCCTCTGTTGAAATCACATCCTTAGCATCGGGGAAATACATCAATGTGTAGTCCAAAGGAATATTGACATCGAACCTCGACATCAATGGCTTCCCCACCACCCGAACATGGCACACACTTTTAACATGAAGATGCCACAGACCAGACAGTCCATTAGTGCCATGCAACAACAATAAACATGGCAGGATACTATGATTTGCTCAGCCGAACAGTATCAAAATAAAAAAGACAGCAGGGTAGTGGCATCCATATAAAATCACAAAATGCTGTCATAATAGAAAAATAATTTGAACCAAAATAGTTCTCATGTTATGGGGAAAGGATCCCATAAGCCCTGATGCAGCTAGACAGGATTGTTTCAGAATTGTGTCAAACACGTAGATCTCAGTTAGGTGATCAAAATAAATAAATAGAAAAAAGAAAAAAAAGAAGAAATCAGTAAAAAAAATGACTCCATTTTTGGTCCAGGCCATCCATTTGATGAAATGTGAATCTTGCCTAGAAGAGCTTCAAATCAGTTTCTATTTTGGAATTGCCAATTAAGGATTTGCAAAACATAGGCTAAAAAATCCTCTCCAGCTGTGTTTAAAGGCTTTTAGCAACAGGCTTGTAGTGTAGCTTACAATATAAAAATTTATCACTGGGAAAGGTCCCATAAAACTGTGGGGTTCCCCTAGGCACCCGGGGAGGACTAGGGCGCCCAATGTCCAAGTGGCCGCTCAAAACCTCAGGCACTCTGAGGTGTCAGATTTACAAATGCATGTGTTATCGACATGCACATATATGTGTCAAATATATATACATTTACATATGGGTTTTCCAATGGTAACACCCTATGAAATCATAGGGATTACATTTAGAAAGGGGTGTGAAGTGCATATTTGAAAAAGGTTAATAATGATATTTGTACTAAATGACAAAAGGTATGTTTGTCATCTCAAGAACAGCATATTTGAAATATTTACTAAAAGACAAATAGTATTTTTATAATGAAAAACTGGAACTTCACTCCATAGTTGCTCGTCTTTTAGTGAAAATATCAACAATATCCTCTATAATGACAAAACAACCCTTACTCATTTTAAAGATATTAATAATTAAAACGACAACAATGATAATTTTAACATTTCACACACTTTTTTAAAGGTAATCTATAGTATTCTATAGGGGGCAAGCTTTCTATGCTTCCCCTATAGCATAAAACTTATATACTTCCCCTTATCCAACCCTCCATTCTGAATGGATGGCTAAGATTGCCCCAATGACAATGTCACGTCTCTACACTTTTATTTTTATTTTATTTTTCTATAAACTATTTTGATACCAAATTTTGGAAGTCCAATCCTCCATTAAACTCGCACTAGCAAAATATATAAAAACAATATTTTCAATAAAATAAAATGACCAAACTACCCCTGAAAGTTTCAAAGGGTATTTTGGTCATTATATTTTATTGAACATTTATTTTTAATATTTTTTATAGGTGCACCCCAATGAGAAGATGGCACGTACCAAATTTTATATTCATACAATTTGCATAAAATAAACTAAAAATAAAATACTTTAAGACGTCGGATCTAAGATCAAACGGTGAGTGGCGCTCTTGATCAAAATTGGACGGCTGGATGGCAAGGGAAGCATAGAACTTCTATGCTGTAGGGGAAGCATAGAAACCTTTCCCTTCTATAGGGTGTTGCCGTTAGAAATGACTTCATGCAACAGTTTATCATAATATAACAAATCATAATATAATGAAACACTTAAAAAACCATGCTAAGGCCATTCGTTTGATCTCAATTTTTAAACATATACTCGTTCAATTTTAATGAACAATCACAAAAAACAAAACTTCAAAACATACCCTAAAAAAATCTTCTTTTAACCTACTTAACATAATTCATCCGTTTGGTGAGACGCTTAGATCTAGGCCTTAGAAGGATTTTCCTACAAATTTTTTAGATGGCTTTGTTATCATTAGATGAATAATGTTGTTGAGATCTCATTATATGAACAATGTTAAAAAAAAAAAAGAAAATTTTGATTTTTGCATTCCTAAAGGCCTAGATCTTAAAATTCGCCAAATGTAGTCAATTCATTGTTGGATAGTAACTATTTTTTACCATATCTAATGTGCAAACTAATTTCCTTTATTTTATTTTTTTTGAGGATTGATTATTGGGACGAAGAGAGTGCCTATGCAAGATTTGGTATCATACAAATGCCACAAATATGGTTTTCTAGAATAGTATTTTCATTATATTATAATGAATCATATATATATATATATATATATATGGGTGTGTGTGTGTGCATTGCCTGTATTCTAATATGCAAACTAATTTCTTTTTTTTGACTATTAGGATGAAGAGAGTGCCTGCGCAAGTTTTGGAGTCATACAAATGCCACAAAAATGGTTTTCTAGAAGTGTATTTTTATTATATTATAATGACAGTGACATAAAATTTGCCCCCCGCCCCCAACCCACACACATATAAGGCTCTAAACAATCAAATTAGAGCCAACCTCAAAAATTTCACAAGAGATTGTTTTCATACCCAAATATCCTCAAATTGATCATTCCGACATCAAGATGCATGGACATGAGAAAAAAATGGATTTCAAGTTTTGCATCTTGTAACACATTTTTGGACAATCAATTTTCAAGATTTTCATGAATCTGCTCGATCTACACTGTTTTTTAAACTTTAAATTTTATAATTAAAAATGAAAGTATGTTTTAAGGCTATCACAAATATTTCCAGTATTGAATTCACATTTCTCAGCACTATTTGAAGGTGTGCTTTACTTTGATTGTTTATAGCCTCGGATTATATGAAAAATATTTCCTAAGCTACTAGCTATAATGAATGGTATAAACTACTAGCTCCTAGCTGTCAGATCTTCATCACATGGTTCAAAATTCATATCACTATTTTATTTTTAATATTTTTTCTATAAATCAGATTAAGATGAAATTTTGGGTGTATATACCTAACACTATTGCACATTTTATATAAATATAAAACAATTACTTTCAATAATTTAAAATGACCAAATTACCCCATCATTTTTAGTATTTCGGTTATTTTATATTTCAGGAACTATGTTTTATTGTGTCCTATTTTTTAGTACACACGTCCAAAGTTTCATTACGATCTGATTTCTAAAAAAAAGATTAAAATTCATATAGTGAAATGAATTTTGAACCAATCAATGAAGATTCGACGACAAGGGGCTAGTAGCTTATACTATTCATTATAACTAGTAGCTTAGGAAATCTTTTTCCTATATATATATATATTCTTTAACTTTTTTATGCAAGTATATGTGCATGAATGTTGAAACAGATTCAAATCATCTAAAGTAAAATTTTGATTCTTTGGATAACCGAAATGGTGAAAAACAAGATTGCTTTTGGGTGTTCCTGAGGCATAGGACTAGATTTTTCACTTCGAAACGGTTACGAGCGCAACAACCCCACCCCCCCCCCCCCGCACGGGGTTTCCTTCCCTTTTCTCATGGGTCAAAATCAACCTAAATGCACCCCACACTTAATCTTTTTCTGCCATTTCCATGGCAAGACCTGAGCATCTGATCAACACTATGCATTGGGGGCCGCTTGGTCAGCTGCCCAAGAAGGCCCGAGAAGGCGGCCTTGGGTCCTTTGTACACCTCAGCGATGGGCCATTTTTGGGAACAGTGTCCCCTGTTGACATATACACATTGTTCCTATAGTTGAAATATAAAATTTGGTAAAAAGAATAAAAAAAAATTGCCGTTCCTGTTAAGCTTGAAATCACAACTAGGTAAGCTACGCAAGGCAGAAAAATAAACAGCAAGTAATGCAACAAACAAATAGCAGAAGAGAGACAAACCAAACATAGTATAATGCGTCCATCTCTTGCCTCTGAACCCTGCCCAATAACTCTATCTGCAACATCCCACCAATGCACAGAACTGGTCTTGGTAACTTGAAGCTTTGCAGGCAGTTCTCCTGTTCATAGTGCAAAGCAGTCCTAAAATTTTAGTCGAAGATTATAGAACCACAATGAATTGTGAGAGAGAGAGAGAGAGGAGAGAGTAGAGAGAGAGGTTAACAAAAATAAGCAACAAATCGACAAGAAATTGAAATGAATAATCTTCTATTTAAATATATCATGCGTATCCTTGAGTTCTCAAACCTTAGTATGTTAATTTGCTTCCAGGTTTACAATATATAAAGAATGGTGATGAAAGACAAAGTAGAACCATGCTTCAAAGAGGATTAAGGGGTCATTGTCACCCCCCAAAGACAAAAGTAAATGTACTTATAACCATAGTTACCTGAATCTCTGATAAGGAACCTTCACAGAACTCCATGAAGTCTAGAATCCCGATTCCTTATCCTAGGAATCTCGATTCCAATACTTGTAGAATCTGGTTTCTAATATTTATTGATTCTCAATTCCACAATTGGCGAATCTCAATTCTACACTTGTTGAAATAGGTTTCCATATTTACCTATATTTTACCACTTCCTTTATTTATTTATTTTATTTTTACTGAGAAGCGATGTTTAGAAGTTTTCAAGGCATCAAACTACTCAAACTAGACACCCAATCTCAAGCTGTAAGGTGTACTCATCTTTTTTGGCATGAAATGACCAACAGAAACCAAAGTGGTTGTCCACACTCTCTTTAATTTGTTAAGTATGCATTGTATTGATCCAATGGAGAAATTGTGACTCCAAGATGTTAGAAATAAGGGAAAGTATAGAATGAGACCATTTACCTTTGGTACAAGGTAGTCACATTAATCTTGACCATTGGATGTGAAATTGGGTGGCTACAATTATTATTCCACTGACCAAGCTCAAACTTCAAAAGAAAATTTTTCGAACTTTGTGACACATCCAAGCTATCAAATTTCACATCGAATTGTTGTAAGTAATTGTGACCACCTTGTATTAAATGGACTCATTGTATACAATCCCTAAAAATAATGTAAACATGCATGTATAGCATGTCGGTCAATGAATGGCATTGAGACATATAGTTTCCCTTTTAGTTCCCTCCCGATTCCATCTATATAGGATTGTCGATTCCATTTTGGCCGAATCCCAATTTTTAAAACTAGGAATCTCATCCCCCACGATTCCACTTGTACAGATGTTGATTCCAAACATAGGAATCTTCCAGCCAGTGGCGATTCCTCGGTTTCGTTTCCTAAATCAATTCGGTTTCGAGATCACTTTGGGTAATTATGCTCATAAGAATTAAGCCAAATTCAATATTATTTCACCAAGTTCAGGTGAGAGCTATAACTTTTAAGCCTCATAGACATACTTTTAGCTTCATGTCAACCAAAACCTATTAAAAGAGAAGGCATGCAAAAATGACAGGATAATGTCATATAAATTTTAAACTCCAAACATATATAAAGGTTAAAATTATGAAAATAAAAGCATATTTCAAGCATTTTTCACAAAAATATGAAGTTCGTGGGTTGTCAAAAGAGAAAAACATGGAAATACTCAAGGCGAGTGAAAAATAGTTAAGTATTAGAGTGTGTTTGATTTCTGGAAGTCACGGTTTTGGAAACTGCACCATAACAAAGAAGATTTTTAGAGTAAAGGCGAATATGGCAATATCCACTTGCTTTATATTAAAGGCCAAAAAGTGAGTACCACCAATTCCATAGGGGACCATGGAACTTGGGGTATCCACTTCCCTCGAAGAAACGGTATCCAATACCGCGTCTTCCAAAAATCAAACACGCCCTAAGAATCTTTTTGGATGCTCAGGAACTATCTTGATGGTTGGGATTCTTTAGAGTTTGGGGACAAAGTAATTCATCAAATTAGGCAGGATACCATGGGGAACATTTCCCTCAATTATAGATAAGTTCTTTGGAAGCTTAACTAAATATCCTAAATAGCAATAATTAACCACGACAAATTCCATTATCTCAAACAATGAATATGTAAGGATGCCTAGGTAACAATGTGCTCAATGACAGAGAAATGCCAACACTTAAAATCATAGGGATTGAGGGATTTACATATGGCTCTCTCAAAATAAGTCAAAAATAGAAGGGGACCATAATTACCTAGATCAAAAACGAGGTCAAATCCCAAATCCGGATCAAGACTGCGGGATCAAGAGATGCACGAAGATCCAAGGGATATGGATCGAGATTCATACACTATAAGTTTAAGGGACCGTGATCCCAATATGAAGGGAGCACAATCCAAATATGCACAGGGTCGAACGATAAGTATATGGGATCTAGGTTCATCCATCTTAGAACCAAGGCTCCCCAAGTAGTGTACTCCAGCTCAAGAACAAGGTCTATTGAACGATATGACAAATTTTTTTCTATAATTCAAAAAGCAACATATCAGTAAATACAAAAAATCATGTTTTAAAAATATTTTTAAATTTTCTTATTTTATTCATTGGAGTTTGTTTAATCAATGAGAAGTGAAACTAAAAACCCAAAATGAGGATTCAAATTTTAGTCCTCAAGCATGAAACAACCATTATTTTGAAGAACGTAAGTACATAACTTCCTCTAGAAATGTCGAATAAATGCACAATGTTGTAGTGGTAGGGCCATTCCATTTGAACAGCATTTCCTAAGAGGTCGTGTGATCAAACCCCACAAACTGCCTTGTTTTATTATTTGCCTTCTAAATAAGTTCAGTTATATATAAAATGATGTTTGCTCAAAGCAATAACATCAACGTGGCTTTGTAGTATCATGTTGGTTCATGTTCATATCGTCCCAAGTTCAAGCCGTGTACAGCTTAGTGGTGATGTTTTTGTATTTATATAATATAAAAAAGCTCACAAAGAAATTAAAAAAAAAAAAAACAGCTTCAATGTGAGGAATGGAACTTAAGACCTCACTTGTCTCAACTGTTGTTGTACCACCAAAACCATTAAGAACATGCCTTTAAAAAGGGTACAGTGTTTCAAAAAGCGCTAAGCGGTGCCTAGGCGGCCGGAGGGATCCAGGCCACCCAGCGCTTAGGCGGGCGCCCAAAACCTGGGCGGCCCAGTAGAAAGAAGAAAATTGTGGGGATTTCTTCTCTCTAAAATAGGCTCTAATGGGTTTTAGGTCTCAAATGAACCTAAAACCCACAATTTTTCCTTTTAAAGATAAAAAAAAATGATCAAAAAATGCCCTCAACGAGGGGCATTTCCACCCCTGAGCGGGGCGCAGGCACTGGGCGGCTGCCTAGGTGGGTTCAGGCGGCTGGTGGGCACTCAGTGATATCCGCCTAATTCGGCCGCCTAGGCCTGGGCGATGCACCCAGGCCTTTTGGACCGCCTAGGAGGGCCGCCCAAGTGCTGGGGGGTCCGCTTTTTAAATCACTAAAAGGGAAGACACTTAACGTGTCAATATGTACTCAAAATTGATGACATCATCAAACAAGTATTGTCAAGTGTCAATAACATGTCTATATGTGTCAACACGTAAGACCAAACAAATTTCTAAGTGTCTAAATAACATTGATAAGAGGGATTTGCATCCCATTAGCTAGGGATTTACATCTCCAATTTTGCAGATCGAGATCCCTAAATTCAAAAAATGTTTGTAATCCATATCCCTTGTCCCGAAGCATAAGATTGAGCTTACAGAGCTTGAGCTCCCACCTTCTTAGGAGATCCTAGCAACCATGAAGGGAGCTTCCTCCACATTATCAGATGGGCAAGAAAAGAGGGACCTATCTTTGGAGGCTACACAATCAGATGTAGTATATTCTATACTTATGTATTCATCCAAATTCTATCCTTTCTTGTCTTGCCACTTATCTATCTAAACATCCTCATCTCAGCTATGGATATGTTGGTTCTTGAACAGCTCAACATATTGTCCCATAAAGTATGGTTGGTCTTACATCCGTCCAATAGAACTTTGCCTTCAATATCAATTGTATTCGGTGATCGCAAAAAACTCCGGATGCACATCTCCAATTCACCCATCCAACTCTAATTCTATGCACAACATCTTCCTCAATCTCTCCATTCTCCTAGATTATCGACCTTGGACATCGAAATTCAAAAACAACCTTTTTAGGTATTTCTTGACCATCGATCTTAACTACTTCCTCGTTTCTACTCTCATTATTACTAAACTTGCATTCTATATATTTCATCTTCGTTCAGCTAATTTTAAAACCATTAGATTCTAGAGCATCCCTACAGGGTTCTAACTTTGACGCCGCCTCTAACCTCATAGATCAAAACTATAGCATCCGCAAACATATACCACAATACCTCATCTTGTAAGTGCTTGGTTAACTCGTCCATAACCAAAACAAAGAGTTAGGGGCTTAACGCTAACCCCTTATGTAAGCTTATTGTCACTAAGAACTCACATCTCTCTCCACTAGTTGTCCACACACTAGTTAGTGCTCCATCATACATATCTCTTACTACGTCAATATAGCCTCTGGTGACTCGTTTCTTTTCTCGTACCCACCAAATAAATCTCTAGGTACCCTAAACTTCTCAATTAGTTGCCTAAGTAGGAAAATAGCTTTGATAGTTGACCTCCCTAACATAAAACCAACCGATTTCTTATACACTCATTTCACACCTTAGTTGTTGCTCAAACACTCTCTCCCACAGCTTAATAGTGCGACTCATAAATTTAATCCCTTGATATTTCGTAAAATTTTGTAAGTCTCCTTCATTATTGTAAATAGGTATTACAATACTTTTTTTCCATTTTTTCCATTTTTTCCATTTTTGTTCGTAACATCTTCTTGAAACTTGGCAAGCCAAGGTATGCCAAACTCCCCCATGCACTTCCAAACCTCTATCGGGATACCATTTGCTCCTAAAGCCCTTCCTATCTTTATCTTTCTCAAGGCTTCTTTCACTTCAAATATCCCAATCTTGCTAATGTAATTATGAAGTCCGCCCTCAATTATGTTAAAGGTTCCTCGAAACGTTGCGTTCCCATAATATTCACCATTTAACAATTTTTGAAAATAAATTATCCACCTTTCTTTCGCCTTGTCAAAATTCCATTAAAAAATTGGGCCTTCCAAAATCCAAATAAAATAAAAACAAGATATAAAAGAAGAAAGCACCCTAAACACATACTTATCCCTACAACTCTAACTCTATAACATCATTTCAAATCTACAGCATTCAAAACCTAAAAGTCTTAACTTAATGTGAAGTGGCATATTACCTGCAACATTGGGAAGTCAGGTGACGTGTATGTCCAGACATAATTGTCATCACATTTGTGGTCAGGCAACAAATCATCCAAATCTTCACTTTCCAAGCTATAAGATAACTTGGAATAACCTAGCCTGAACCGGACAGCCTTCGCAGAATATATGGGACTGCCCCTTTGAAAGTAAGCTGCCAAAACAGATAAAGATCCTATAAATATTGAATATAATATAAATTTCCAACAAAATAATAAGAGAAGGCATAACAACACGAAAATCAATACGAACCTTGGAAAGGCTGTATATCTATTTCATGTATAACACATAATTTCGACTTTAGCTTGTATGTGAGTGTTTCAGGGGCCTCAATATTGCTAGCTCCTTGACTTGACCAATAGGATGGCCTCTCAAACTCCCTAGGGCTTGGGTTCAAGGTGTTCTCAATGCTTTCATCTGGATAATTGTCTGTACTAGAAGCACCAATAGGAAACTGAAGGCAACATTTGTCTGATACAAGCGTCATGAGTTCACGAGTGAAGCAAGCATAAATCTTGTGCTCTCTCTGTAAATTTTCCCATTCTAAAACTTTGCTTGATCCAATTGGTGGAGGATCTACTCCATTTTTGCATTCCATCACTCGAGTGATATGGCATACTTCGGGAAACATTTTTATGCATAAATCCTTACAGAAACGATTCTCGATAACTGCAAAATGTCACACAAACAACTTTAGCGCTCAATCTGCTGATAAATGAAAATTATTGATAAAGACGACATTAAATGTCTAACATAAAAATAGGAAAAAATCCTAGCTATGATATTTCAACACAGTGTCAGAAAGTGTGACCCTGACCGAGCAATAGGTCCTGGCCCGAGCCGATTACCGGGCTGAGTCTAAGTAACTCAGCCCGATTAGTGCTCGATTATTGTAGCAGCAAAAAAAAAGATCAAACAATTATAAAAATATAAAAAAATCCAAAAAAAATAGGAAATGTACGTTTAAAGTACGATTAAGAAAACACTTCAAAAGTATGTTAAAAAATTGGTAAAAAATAGATTTTAAAACATCAACTTGTGAATGGGGTACTTTTGAAATAATCCAAAAAAGATGGAAAAAGGTAAAAATAAGCATTAATGGCTAAAACGCTTTCTAGTCTTTAACAAAATGATAGAAAACATGAAAAACGTATCCCAAATAAATTCCTTACTTTTAGAATTTTTTTAATATTCCGAGTTAGACACCCAACTCAGGACAACTCGGGCTCGACAGGGGCCCCGAGCTTGTGTAACTTTCTGATTTTGCGAACACTACAACAATAATAGAGAAGGAAAAGAGGGGCATCGAGGCGTCGGGGGGTGCGCATATGTTATCTTATATTCATGCCAAACAAATGGACTCTAAAAGATTTTCCAAGAAGCATCATACACGCAGATACACTAACAAGTAGAACTTTTCAACCCAAATCCTCAGAATACTACCATTATTTTCTTTTATCCTAATTCTTTTGAAGCAATTCTATTTTTATCAATAAGTAAAATAAATAAAGTTAGAATAAAGGGAGCAACCTCTCCATTGCATGTGCTAATCACATATCCAAGGAATAGTATTAATAAAGTAAAAACTCAGAACTAGAGGATACTATAAAACAATCTCCATGTAGATTCCAAAGGAAGGGAAGAGTCATAAGTAAGGCAACCCAATGCAATACTCTCACCCAAGACACTCCACACAGGTAAAAAGTCTAATTTCCATCCCTTCCTCGCCAGATTTTTCAAACTTTAGAAGATAATGGATACAGCACATCTATATATTCTATCGAAAATGTAAATCAGGCTACTCCTAAAAACTTCCTTATGATCAAATCCTTGCAGAATCCATTGCCAACAAAAGAATTCATATCAGTACTTTCCATGTGAAAGCTACTCCTAAGAAACACACCATACCTCAACAAGGAATAGAGTAACCAAAGCAAAAACCCCAACTAGAATATCTACAAGAAAGTAAAAGAATTAGAATAAATATCTCAAAGTATTAGCATTATCCCTTAGACAACCCTTTTCTCCCCAATGCCAATCGTAAACACCATTGATTTATTCAAAGAGCAACACTTCTTGATAGCTAGTAACGAAAAAAAAATTTATAGGAACCAGTGCTGTAAAAACCAGCGAGCCAGCTTGGAACAAGTGGGTAAGGGGCAAGGGTCAAGACCCCTGGTTTTGTGGGGTTCCCACCTATTCCTGCCGGTTCTATTATTCTTTTAATTATTCTCTGAAAAGAATGGAGAACGGGTGAGCCTTAACCCACCGGTCAATTTTGACAAAAATAAGAGGAATAATCCTAAAAATCACATCTATATTAAAAGTGTAGGCTTGACCCTACTAGCTACTGGTCATATTGTTCTCATGTGCAATTCAAATCCCTAAAATAAGTAATCGGAGGAGAGAGGCATGATGGGTGGCTTTTAGTTCAATCTATAACTGCTAATCTTGATAAGAATAAGATCCAACAGAAGATTGGGACACGTCTACACTCTTAAGGTGATTTGATATCTATGGTATTGTTTCTCATTTCTCTGAGATTTTTGAAGATCTTAAACTTTTCTTCTACCTGTCCCAAGGCTGGGTAAAGGAGGTGGATTGTCTTGGTAGGCAGCCAGCAAAGTCATCTTATCATGAATCCTTAACCTATTTTATAAAAAATGGAACAACAAGATTCATGTAGCCGGCCCCAACTCATTGGGATAAGCTTGGATGACGATGATAATGATGATTTACAATTAAGATTTAACATTCTGGATACCCAAAAAACCAAATAAACAAAAGAGATATGAATAGAGGGATCCATGGGTTGATATGGAATAGTAACTTCATAGAGAAATGAATAGAGGCGTCCATGGGATGATAAAGAATATTTGTTCAACTACATAATTACGTTATATAAATAGATGATTTCAAAATCAGTTGCTGGATGGCGTCTTCTCTGCACTCTGCATCAGCTGCTGCTCCTCCTAACAACAACAAGAACCCCTCTTCCTCTTCTTCTGCCCAGTTCAAGCACTCTTTCCCTCGCATACGGAGCCAGAAGTTCCATGGCATCCCTTCTCGGAGAAATGGAGGTGGTTGAGCTTTGGGTAGAAGCATCCCTTCGAGGCCCAATAGTTTTGTTCACCTAAGTAGGAACCACTTCAATTGAGAGGAAATTTATAACCTTTATCCTAGGCCTTCACCCTCCCGTTCTGTTAATCGGCCTTTTTTGGCGAGTTCTACGTGCGACCTTAATAGGTTGCCGATTGGCCCCAAGTCTTTCGCACAGGTCCTTAACTCCAAAATCCCTATTCCCCTTGCTCCTCCTCCCCACCACCACCCCTTGAGGTCCTGGTAGCCTTGTCTTCACCTGCTCACCCTCTGGTTATTGAAACTTCGGATTTAGTGTCTCACCCTCTTGCATATCATTTAAAAGCCGCACTTGTTGGATACTTTGTCCCACAGCAGAACAACATCCGGGGAATAGAAAAATGGGCACAGAACCTATGGGGGGAACCCAACATTACATGCAGAACCATCTCTAGGGGAGGTATCCTCCTCTCCCTCCCATCTCCAACCTTAGCCCAAGAGGGCTAAGCTGTTCCTGAGGCCTTGGTCCCCCAAGGAAGGGGCGTCGACAACCCTTAAATATTGGGTTACTTTAATGACATACCCCTTCATGCTTGGTCTCCATCCTTCAAGAAACTAGCCCAAGTGTGCGGTCATTTGATTTCCATTAACTGGAAAGCCCTGAAGGTCCTCCCCATGGGGTCGATGCAAGTTTTGCTTGAAACCTTTAACCCCTCCCTTATCCCTCCTAAGAAATGGATTAAGATTGAAGATTCCTTCTTTCCTATTACAGTGAGATGGTCCCTGGCTTCGTGGAAGAAACTTACAAGGAAGAAGACGAGCTTGCCGGAATAGTGGATTAAGGTCACTGGGAAATCTAAATCCCGGTTGTCGAGATTGGACCCCCCCAGAAGAACTACGAGTGCTCGTCAAAAGACACACATGTCACGTATCAGGGATTTCAGTACAAGGGTACAGATAGGGGTACATTGAGTAGATCCTTCTGTGGATTCTCACCTTTACATGAGCCTGAAACTCTTGTCAAGGCCGCCTCCCTCAGGGATCTTCCTCAAGATCCAGTTTTATTGCCACCCCCCCCCCCTTGCTCCCACCCATCCCAAGATAGCCTCGCCACGTGTCCTTCCAAAAAGAACATCACAAATTCCCACACAGCAGGATTTGACAACCACGCCGCCCCAGCCGCCTGTACCTCTTTCAATTGTCAGCCACGCGTCCCCCATTGCCGCCTCTCCTTTGCCATCGGGACTGCCAGCAAAATCAAGCCCCTCTCCTCCCTACTCGAGAGGTAGCCCCTTGGTCTCCCCTTCCTCGTCCTTGACCCATAGAGGTCTTGTAACCCTAGGGGTTTCAACTCCCTCCTCTGACGCTCTGATGGTACAAATGGTAGAAGTAAATCCTATTGTAGAACCCAGGCCCCCCTCTCCCCAAGAGATGCCGAAGCACATCCCTCTTCTCCCCTCTGTAACGGTAACCCTAGAGGCGACTCTCGGCAAAGAGGTGCTTCCCCAAGTGTCTACCTCAACGGGAGTATTAACTTCTGAAGCCTTGTCAATGGGACCTCCAACTTCACCAGTTATTCCCCCCAGAGATCCCCCTCTTGACCTGCTAGCTTGATGCCTGCACCCTCTTTCATTTTCTAAATCCTTCGTCCCCGCCTTCCCTGACATAGACTGGTCCCATTACCCTATTGGTTTTCTATTGGTCCATTCTTCTAATCCTTCATCGCTGGACTTGGAGGCCTTTGCTGAGTTCTTGGCCCATTATCTCGCTATCTATCCAGCTCTCACTCCAATTTGTCAGGTCAGCTCTTTGTTCCTCCCCTTCTACTGTATTCATGGTCACCCCCTTATTTCTCGCACTGCTTTTCCCATCTTTAAGTTTCCTTTGCTCCACATCGTTCCAACCCCTCTTTCATAGTGGGTAATATCATCGATATAGGGGCCTTTGCATCCAATGATCCCCTTCCTCTCTGCCTTTCTCCCCCCTACTTTAACCCTTCACCCTAGCACCACCCTTATCTTTCACCTTCTAATCCCTCTCCCAACGAACCTGGTCTAACCAACGCCCTCAATATTGCTCAATCAAGTTACCAAGGCCCCCCGTACCCCCCTTCTTATCTCCTTTGTCCTCCTGCCCCTCCTTCTTTACCCCTAAGCACCCCTTCTTCCCTCCCGCGCCACTACCCTCAGCCAACCTCCGATGGACTATGCCCGTTCAGCCATCCGTCCCTGATGTCTGACCTTTTGCAGCAGAGAGAGGAGTCGCCTAGACTTGTCAGCTACGACAACAACAACTCTCACAACAACAACAACTCTCACACCACAAAGGTTAAGTATTTCTTTAGGCTTATGGGTTTTCAATTGGAAGACGCAGATCATCACCTTCTCCTCTCTCTTGACGCTACCTCTGGGGAGTGGGAGTGCTCGCAGTAGGAAAAAAGGTTACAGAGAGCTACTTAACCTTTTCTCTTCCTTCAACCCTGGACATATCTACCCCTCGGATTTGTCCGCTGAGCATTCCATCCCAACCAAAGGTCATCGGCCAGGAGGGCTTCCAGAATGGCCACAAATACCCCCTCTTCTATTCCAAGATGATTATCTTATCATGGAATATAAGAGGTCTTGGACAGGTCTCTAAACAAAAAGTTGTTAGAGATCGCTGTGCAAGGTTCAAACCGTCTATTCTGGCGCTCTTAGAAACCAAAAGACCGGAGCCTGACCTGCTTTCTGTCAGAAGTGTTTTGGGTAGACTTCCCTGCCAGTGGATCTCTCGCCCTGCATCTGGGGCCTCAGGAGGAATATGGGTTGTTTGGAATCCTTCTTAACACACTCTAACCTCATACCACGTCGGCGAGTTTACAGTCACCGTATTACTATCCCAAAACTCTGACAACCTTAAATGGAAGTTTAAGGTTGTCTATGGTCCTAACAGGGCTTCTTTGAGACCTAGATTTTGGGAAGAAATTGATGACATAGCCGACCTACCTCATTCCATTTGGTGTTTGGGTGGGGATTTCAATATAACTAGATGGTCCTTCGAAAGAAACTCCTCGAACTCTATCTCCAAGAGCATGACAGAGTTCTCGGACCTCATATCCAAACACAAACTAATTGAGATCCCTCTACTAGGGAATCACGTGGTCAGACCATGGGGCCCAACCCACTCTATCTAAATTGGACCGCTTTCTTGTCTCTCCTACTTGGAAAGAATCCTTCCCAAGGTCACATGCCTCAACTCTCCCCAAACCCACGTCAGACCACTGCCCAATTTTACTTAATACCCAGCAAGTTCCTAGGGGACCCAAACCTTTCCGGTTCGATCCAGGAGAAGGACCTTCCATCCCTTCTCCCTCTATGGTGGCAATCTACCTCTAACCAAGTCACAAGATGGGTTGGCTTCAGACTTCAAAAAAAACTACAATTACTGAAGTCATCTCTTAAATCTTGAAGCCTTTCACTTTAACGTAACTTCTCAAATGCCGAAAAAACACAATTGGATATCTTCCAGGACCTTGATAGGAAAGAAGAATCCAAACCCCTCTGGCTTGCAAAGGCAGACCTCAGATAATCAACTAAAATGGAGTACCTTTAAACACTCAAAAGGAAGAGATTTACGGGTATCCAAGATCAAGAGTAACTTGGCTTAAATCAGGGGACCTAAATACCAAATTCTTCCATAGAATCGTGAATAGCCGAAGCCGAATGAATTTGATCCAGAACATCAAAGTTGGAGAATCTGTGCTTTATTCAGCTCCAAAAATCGAAGAGGCTATCATTCTATACTACAGGAACCTCTACTCAGCTCAAAACTTACCTAGACCCACTATGGGAGATCTGAATTTCAAAACCCTTCCAACCCATAGAGCAGATTGGCTAGAACGACCTTTTTCTCAGGAAGAAATCGAGAAGGCAGTGAAGGACTTGGCATCCGATAAGGCGCCTGGTCCAGACGGTTTCCCCATGGCTTTCTTCAAAACATTTTGGTCCACCTTCAAGGAGGACTTCAATGTGTTTTTTGAGGAATTCTATAACCATGGAAAACTTAATAAAGCCTTGAATGCCACCTTCCTAATGATGGTGCCAAAGGTAGAAGGAGCACAAGACATCAAAGACTTCCATCCAATTAGTCTCCTAAATTCCTCATACAATATTCTCTCCAAAGTTCTGGCTTCCAGGGTCAAAAATGTCCTCAATTTGATCATATCCAATCCCAATCAGCTTTCATTAAAAATAGACAGATATTGGACGGCGTCCTGATAGCTCATGAATGTATTCACTCTCCAATTAGACAAAAGAAGCAAGGCCTAATTTTCAAAATTGACTGGGAGAAGGCGTATGACCATGTTGCTTGGTCAATTCTGGAACAAACTCTCTCCAGAATGGGATGTGGCGAAAGATGGAGAAAGTGGGTGAGAGGATGCTACTCTAGCCCTTATTTCTCAGTCTTAGTAAATAGATCTCCTAAAGGATTCTTCATATCGTCAAGGGGACTAAGACAAGGAGACCCCCTTTCCCCCTTCCTCTTCACTATAGTGGGAGAGGTTTTCAGCCAATCAATATCGAGGATGTTCCAGGCTGGGTTACTATCTGGATTCAAAACAAGTAGAACAGGGCCAAGTGTGTCACACTTACAATATGCAGATGACACCCTGGTATTCCTTGATGCAAGTAAGACTGAAGTTCAGAACCTGAAAATCTTCCTTGCTTGCTTTGAGATAGCCACTGGATTTAAGGTCAACATGGCAAAATCCAAAATGATGGAAGTTGGCCTAAACTCTTCATCAACCAGGAACCTGATAATGGATTGGCAGTGTGTAGAGGAGGAAATCCCAACCTTTTACCTAGGGCTCCCCTTAGGCCTTGGAAGACCCAATAAACGGATGTGGACCCAGGTCATTGATAAAAACGATAGAAGGCTAGCAGGATGGAAAGGGCAAAATACCTGTCTATGGCAGGCATATGCACCCTTATCAAAGCATCCCTGGCCAATACCCCGATTTACTTCATGTCGCTCTTTCAAATTCTTGCTTCAGTAGCTAAAATAATTGAACAGCTAATAAGGAATTTTCTATGGTCGGGTTCAACAGAAACTAAGAAAATCCATCTAGTATCTTGGAAAAAGATTTGCTCACACAAGAAGGGAGGTCTGGGGATAAGAGATATTAGGAAACATAATTGGGCCCTTCTGGGGAAATGGTGGTGCAGGCAAGCAAATCATGAGAATCAACTTTGGACATAGGTGATTAGAAGCAAATATAAAATCTCCTCAGTAAAGTGGCTGCCAGAGACTGACTCCTACTCCACAGGATTAGGTATCTGGAAGACCTTGATTTCTATCCTCCCTCGTTTCATAACCAATACCCGCTTTCATGCAAGAGGCGGGAACAGAGTGATATTTTGGGAGGATTTGTGGATAGGGTCTGCACCACTAAAAGAAAGATTCCCCCTACTCTTTGCCATCTCCAACCGCAAAGACTCAACGATAGATGTCAAAATGACTTTATCCGGCCACAATAAGACGTGGAACCCATCTTTTAGAAGTTCTTTGGCTAAGGAAGAACTCCTTCAATTTGCAACTTTAAGTTCTGAATTGCATGGATCTTCTTACCACAGTCAGGGATGGATTCCATCATTTGGTCCCCATCAAGCTCAGTAAGGTTCACGGTTGCTTCTTTCTATAGAGTCTTGGTAGAGGGGTCACACTTCGCCAGCCCATCAAATAGAGTGTAAGACTCTATAGCACCACCAAGGACTTAAAAAGGACTAAACTCTTCCAGTCGTTAACGTTCCAAGGGAAGCCACTAACCTTAGACAACCTTCAGAAAAGAGGATTCCAACTTCTTGACAGATGTATTATGTGCCTTAAAGAAGAGGAAACAGTTACACATGTGTTATTACATTACATTGTGACTTGGCATATTCTATTTGGAGTCTAACTATTCAGTTATTTAGACTCACGTGGGCTCTCCCACATTCAATCCAGGCTTTGTTATCATAGTCCTTTGAGGACAGCTTTAGGAAGTCGGGGAAATTCCTATGGAAAGCTTCGGTAACAGCTACCCTCTGGCACATATGGGGGGGAAAGAAATTCTAGGATCTTTCGCGGTAATGAATACTCCCCAATCCACATTCCAAAAAATAACATCCTCAATTATTTTCTGGGCCTCCCACCACAAATTATTCGTGAGTACTTCCGCCTCTTCCTTTTTGCGAGATTGGGCAAATTTAATTAATCTTAGTCATCATCAGAGCCGAAGAACCCCTCGATGGACCCCTCCTCCAGAGGGTCAAGTAAAGCTCAATTTTGATGCTAGCTCCTTTGGTAACCCCGGCCCGGCAGGAGTAAGGGCGATGTATAGGAATTTCAAAGGACAAGTCCTTCTCACCTATTCTGCACACATAGGTATTCAGGACTCGCAAACAGCAGAAGTCAAAGCCCTGCTAATTGGAATAAAAAACTTTAACCATTCTTGGGGAAGAATTCTACAAATAGAAGGAGATGCCAAAAACATTATCAAGTGGGCTTCTGGGTTAAGTCATCCACCTTGGTATTTGATCAATATTTTTATGAGATTCATCACTTATGCAAGGACCTGGAAGTCACTTGGAAGTACACCCGAAGGACCGCAGACGCACTCGCTAAAGAAGCTGCCCGCCAACACACCTTACTGCATACAATGGGTCTGAGTGGTTTTCTTTCGCCCCTCGTAACTATTATTGAAAAGGGACAAGTATATAAGCCCCTACCATGCTTTCTTCTTTTTTGCTTTTGTAACTGAGCACATATATAAGCCTTTTCAGCTTCTCAGAGTGCTTGTGTCTGTATTGTCTGGTCCTCCTCTTAGGGACTATGACACAACTGAGGTCCACGTGTGGTGGACCCAACTTTGACGGTGTAACTTCTTTTAAATTTTAATGTTAAGTCAACTTCTATCAAAAAAAAATTACGTTATATAAAAAATCCTGCAAAAAAAAACACGCAATATTCAATATTCACACATTTAAATATTTAAAAAAGAAATCCATGCATTTGACGGAAGGCGATGGGTATATTGCAAGGTTCAAAAGGCAACTGAAAAAAAAAATAAGAATAATGCTCATGCCATTTAGAAAAACCAAAAAAACCATTTCACAATTGAAATGGAATAATATCCACAATTGGAATCACAAAAAAAAAACAAAACATTTTCTCCCATGGTTCTAAGAATTTGATAGAAAAGACATCCTATTAATGCCTTATCAAACCGCTAAATTTTAAGCACAAAAGCTCACAATAGGTAACCAAAAGAAGGGCAGAAAATGCCATTTAGCCCATAAAAGTAATCAGTAGCAGGAACACCAAAAAAAAAGCCCTAAATAATCTATGCTTACCGAAGTTCCTCCATGAACGAGAAACACATGCAAGGCGAACCAGATCACCAGGATCATCCAAGAACTTCAGAACATGCTTCGATGAATCAATGTCTAGTTTCTCCAACATATCCACGCAACCCTTCATCTCCATCTCCATCTCCATCTCCATCTCCATCTCCATTAAGAAAATCCCACTCACTGCTATTAATCCATCATGAAAACCCCGAACTAAACGTCAACAAATCAAAAACTTCAACAATGAGACAAATCAAAAACTTTAACAATGAGAAACAATAAGAAAACAAACCACCACATAGATTCACCTCAAACCAGAGTCCAGGATTTATTTATTTTTTGAGAAAACCAGAATCGGGATTTGAAAAAAAAAAAACAGAAACTCACAAACATGCAAATAAATTACTCAACACAATTAATCCACCACGCAAAACCCTAGATCAATAAAAAATCCAACAATGAGAGACACAGAACCCTAGAAAATAAACCTTCCATTGTTTCAGCCCAAACCAGGTCAAAAGAAACCCTAGAAAGGAAAAAAAATCCACATACACAAATTACCTCAACAGTAAACCCTAAATCTAAAAAAATAAACTTGCGTAGAATATCACAAATCCAAGAAAAACCAATGGATTGACCCAAAAATTGAAGTACCGAAAATGAAAATGAAAATGAAAAAAGAAAAAAGGAAAAAAATATTTTCGGGAAAGAATAACCAGATAATAAAGGCGCACCTTTTCTTTGGACAGTGACCAGACCCCAACGGAAAATGCAGAGATAAGGCCAAGGAGAGTCAAGAGTTGCCTTATCTTTATTTATAGAACGGGAGCGTTAACAGGGACACCCGGCAATGCGCTGTGAAAAGTGAATATAAAAATATTTATGCATTTAACTATATTTGAATATTTATGCATTTAACTATATTTGAATATGAAAAGTGATTTGATACGGTTGTAGCCCTATCAAAGTAAGTAAAGTCCCATCTCATAACTCATTCCAAATTTTACTATTTAAGTATTAGAAAACCTTTATATCGATCATTTCGGCTAGAATATTATGGTTGCGAGAAAAATTATGATTTTAAGATCTAAAAAAATGTATATTATAACAAATTATCTAGACCATCCATTTTGCTTTAAACATAAGTGTTCATAGATCTGCAAGATCTGTACCATCTTTTAGGTTTCAAAATTTATTGTCGGTGTTAGAAATTGATTTTAGAGCCATCATAGAAATTTCCATCGCTAAAAGTACTTTCCCGACAAGGACTTGAGGTGGGGTTTATTTTGTTTTCATAAAACCTAGGCCTTATAGAAACCTCACTCTTTAAAAATAAATCATATACTAGGACCCGAAAAATATTATTGGACATACTCATACCCGATCGGACCCAAACCCAGGCTTGAATAGTGTTCAGTTCTAAGAATTTAACCTGGACTCGACCCATTGTGTCCAATTTTTTGACCTATATCCATACCAGGATCGGGTCTACCCCTCGGGTCCAAGTCCATTGATGTTCTTAGTATGTTACGATGCAATTGGCATACAGATGCATCCGTAGCTATAGTGGTAAGGTGCACCTTCAAATTTTATCATGGTATATAATTTTGATGTAAAATGTTATTAGGATTATCTCAAAATCTATTTTTATATCTAATTATAAAATTTTAAATTTTAAAAATGGTTAAAATCAAGTAGATCTATAAACATATTAAAATCTTGAAAATAGACAGTGTAGATAATATATTGTAAAATGCATTATTTTTGGGACTTAAAATCTTTTTATTTTTCATAGTCATACAACTCGATGTCAAGATGATCAATCAAAAGGTTTTTTAACATTAAAAGTACCTTTTTTGATGGACTTTTAACGTGCATCGGTAGTTCTACATTATAAGGTTGCATCCTAATATAAACTTTTTCCAATATGTTATTGTGACTTTTAACAAAAGGTTCTCGTTTATTTTCAAACTTATAAGTACGTCCAGGGTATATTCATGTGTTTTTACTAGGGGTGGCAATGGGTTGAGTAGCATGGCAATACAGCTGCTTCCCCCGAGCAGTGTAACAGTAACTAAAACGAGCTCGAGGCCCTAGCTTGGGTTTGAAATCTAGACCTGGTGGCCAATCAGGTTGGGTTTGGGCTTAGGCTTAGGCTTGGAAAAGGTGGCGATGCCTTGATCCTACCCTTTTAAATATTTTTTTAAAGTTATTTATAGTATGCCTGGCCTGGAACCATTAACAGGGTAGGGTCGAGCTATCTAAATAAGAGCCCGCCTCTAATGTCTTGGCGCGGACCCGAACCAACCCATGCCCGACACACTTGCTCCGTACTTTTACAATTAATATAGGTGGAGAGAGATGGTGATAGATCAAAGTAAGTAGAGTATCTTCTTGTAGGGCCACTTTAATGTTGCTAGAAATGTAGTGTTGATGCTGGAAAACTTGTAATTTGACAATCCAGCAATGAGATAATGATCACACCCATGGGATTAGAAAAGTGGTATGATTATATAAGGCATCAATATTAAACAATGCACCTTCAAAGTCTTATCGGATTCAGGTGCCAAAAATATTTGTGATGGCTTGAAAATCTATTTTTAATTTTAATTATGAAATTTAAATCTTTAAAACTTTGTGCAGATTGAATTGTTATAGAAAAGCTTGAAAATCATGGAAAAAAAAATGGACTAGATAATATGTTGCAAGATGCACTACTTTAAAGACTTGAAATCTATTTTTCTTTTTATTTTCCATATCGATACATCTCGAGATTGAGATGATCAATTTGAGGGTTTTTCAATATTGGAATGATACGTTATATTGTTTTTTAAAGTGTGCCTTATTTTTTATAGTATAAAGCATAGTTATCAAGACCGATCGCATTGGTGATTTGATCGGTCGAACCACTGATCGATGCTTTGGTTGGTTTGATCCAAGGTAAAAACTGGATTTGATAAAAATTTTGTCAAAACCAATGTTTGATTGATTTTGGTCTGTCCGACCATTCAGTTTTACCAGTTCCACTAGCTAAATTAAGATTGGAAGTTACTTTTAAAAATATTTTATATTTTAAAAAATGCATCGATTTGCTTTCATTTTCTCTAAAATCAACTCCAATTGGTTTAACCAATTGTTTGGACTGGACCACCTCTTTGGTTCGGTGGCATGTCTGATTTTAAAAACACTCATGTTGACCCCTATATAGAATTTTTCCCTAAAAAAATTAATTTCTAAGGCCTAAAAATGGTCATCATATAATGCATTTGTTAGACTATATGTTTCCGGTGTCAATTGATCCATTAGTAAGGCATTATTTTTTAAGCTTCAAAGTTCAAGTTATGTAGTTTATGATTTATTTTGTAAGCTATCACATGGGTTTTTTAAAGTGGAAATTTCATATATCACATGGGTTTTTTAAAGTGGAAATTTCATATATTAGAGATGGAAGAGAGGGTAATAGATAAAAACAACTTCAAAGATATAACTAGTATTTCAAAACACAAATCGGTGGTGTGGGTTGTTCACCCACAGATATATACCAAATTGTTGGATAGGGGATCCTAATTGGGTCTGAATCAGTACTATAAAAAATATTAATAAATAAATAAAGCAAAACAAAAATTAAAATAGGGGTTTATGGGATATGAATTTAAAAAAACGCTACTGTGTGTGTAAAAGGGCGCTTTTGGGATGGGGACCGGACTGGAACCCATACCATCTTGAAACCGGATCGATCCTGATCGATCCCCATCCAGACCGGCAATCTAGATTGAAAATGATCAGGTTTTAAAACATTAGCTATAACACAAAAGATGTTAAAACTAAGAGAAAAACATGGTGGTGTATATAATAAATTTAGAAGATGGGAGTATTTTTGTAGGGTTGTGATTTTAGATATTTGTGGTAAACTATCACCTTAAAACTCCACTGGAAATTGTAGTTTTGTTGACAAAAATGTTCATGATGGCAAAAAATCTATTTCTATCATTGACAATAAAATTTAAAACTAAAAAGGTGAAAAATAGCAAATTTGTAAGCACTTGAAAACTAAATCAAAATTTGGTTGCTGTTTGCATTTCTCCTATCTAACTCTAATTCTTTCTATATGCGACATCTACTCCAATCTCTCCCTATTTATAGATTATCGACCCAAAATATCGAAAGTGCGCTCAAAGATTTATTTTAAGTATAATTATTAATCTTGTAGATGCATTTTTTACAAACTTTTGGAATATGACCAATGTATCCTCGATGTGTTCATTCAGAATAGAGAGAGAGAGAGAGAGAGAGAGAGAGAGAGAGTTTGCCGTGTAGAGAAGTGTTTGCAAACTTGGCCGGTCCAACTCAAAACCCGCCGGTCAAACCAGAACCACGCACTAGCCGATTCAGTTTTAGCCAGTTTTGGTGGTCCTGCCAAATATGTTAAAAATATTTCAAAAAATTTGTATAAAATCCTAAAAAATAAGGGATTTATTTGTAATGTATATTTTAATGTCTTTTATTATTTTGGTAAAATATGTAAAGTGTTTTGGCCAAGATTACTTATTTTTATATTTTCCCATTTTTTAAAAGAAATTCAAAAACACCACTAGGGGGCCAGGCAATCTCATCTTATCATTTTGTCGTTGCTCATTCCCGTTAGGCCGAAGTCTGGGGCCTTTCCTTCTCCACGCATGCACATGCTTCACTGACCTATCCCAGGGTAAGCAGAAACTTTGACTATTGTATAGATGGAAAAAGTTTATATAAGGATGCAACTTTATAACGTAGAACTACGGATGCACCCCAAAAATCCATAAGAAAAGGTAGTTTTAACGTTGAAAAATTCTTTGATTGATCATCTCGATATTGAGATGTATGACCATGAAAAATAGAAAGATTTTAATTCTCATAAATAGTGCAGTTTACAACATATTATCTACACCGTCCATTTTCAAGATTTTCATATGTCTGTAGATCTATTTGATTTTAACCATTTTTAAAATTTAAAATTTTATAATTAGGTATAAAAATAGATATTGAGATAATCTTAAGAACATTTTACATCAAAATTATATACCATGATAAAATTTGAAGGTGCACTTTACCTCTACAGCTATGGATGCATTTGTAAGCCAACTGCACCTTATATAGATAAGGACTATGTGGGTGAGTCTTCACTGACCAGGGTTATTTCGATCACCTAGCAGGCAGCTGAAGCCAAGGCGTACCATTAGATTTGAATAAGAAGGAACTTGAATTGGCACAAATCGATTTTTTTAATATCCATTTTTGCCTAATTTTCAATTTATTTGGATGTACTTTATTTAATCATGTTTTAGATATACTTTTTATATATTTTTAGTTTTTTTTTTTTTTGTTAGTACTTTTTGGACCTGCCCGGTTAGGCTGGTTGAACCGGTCGATTTATCGGTTACTCAAAACCGGCTATTGGCCAGTTTCTAAGGCCGATTTGATTTTTTGAACATTGGTGTAGAGTTAATATGAAAGTCGAGACACTATTCTTTTCCGATAAAATCATAAAAAATTATGAATAAAAAAATAAAAAAGAAAAGAAGAAGTTAAAAAACACCACCACATGGCTCTAATAAAATAAACATAAATGTATCCACCTTTTAATTAAAGAGTTTTGTTCAAAGTGTAATCTAGTAAATACGTAAAAGTGTATCCTAATTTTTCCTAATAGGAATATTTTATGAGCCAAAGAACTTATATTGTAGCATAAGCCCAATAAATTGAAGAAGAGGTATTGGTATGGTGAACTGAGAAAAGTGCACATATTTTGCTCAATATTTTATTGAAAATTTATAAAAAATATTCTTAATTTTTGCTTAATTAGGAAAAA